GGAGACAAACTCAAAATCATCCGGCCCGAGCATGCACCCCTTTAAAAGGAGTAAGAACCCCTCACAGGTAAACCTGTTTGGGGAATAACCTGGCTTTCCAATGCTTTCCATGGATTTTCCGTGGATTTCCGTGCTCCATTGACACCACATGTACCCGACCTTCCTCCAAGGTCTGGCCCTCGCCTTGCTGCACTGGGCCCCATGCGTTGCAGGGTCGCCGCGCACGAAGGCCGCGTGGCAGCGCTTGCAGCAGAAGCCGCCGAACTGCCGGTCGTCGGTCACGGCATAGTCACAATCCGGATGAGCACAGGCCAGGCCCTTCATCGATGCAGGAGACGGTGCACCAAACGTATTGATTCAGTTGGAGCAGCCAAGTGCTGGTTGATTTTGTTGGCTTGTGACGAATTTGAGGTGAAATCCTGCATGTAGGAAGAGCCATGCAAAGCTCAAGTCATAGCAGTAGCATATTCATGCATTATTCTATCATGCAATCATATAGTGCATGCGGAATGGGCTGTGAGAACACTCTCGTTGCGATAACAGCTGCACACTAACTTGTCATCAGCTTTTCCCGAAGAACATCTTCAGGAACCATATAAACAGCGAACCCACACCTCTCCGAGCCAAGTCATTCGAAGCAAATGGTGCAAAAAGGAAGATTTGTCCATCGATGCACTTGCTGTTGAACACCCATAGGCTGGAAATGCGCCAGGATGTGGGCATCACACGGCCGCAGCGTGCTGGCACAGGGCCGCAGCGTGCACATTTTCGTGCAACAACACGCAACAGCCAATGACAGCTAGTCTATTCTCCGCATCCCACAGCGGCCAGCAGCTCCCAACGAACCCTAGACACTTCTGACTGAGAAGGTCTTCCCCGGAGGATTTTCGGGCTGTTGCATCGGGGATCACCACGGGTCGCTGATGATCTGATGGGATCATGGGCGACTCCTTCCACTTCAACACAGCAAACATCAGCAAACCAAATACATCGAATGTCAGGAAAAACCAGTGGTAGCTCACTATCAAACCTGTGCATCCAATGTGTACTCGAACGGAAAACCAGTGGCACATTTTCACATGGTTTGAAACGATACTGTCATGTAGCAACACCTTAGCTTTCTAGTTGCACTCAGTTTGAAAGCAAAATGTGATCAACAATGAGAAACACGGGAACAAATGAAGGGTAAACACCGATAGGCCGGGCTGGTGCAGCAGAAGGTCCTCGAGATGGGTGCTGAATCTTGAACATTCCGGTCAAAACTTCCGAACGCAAGGTTACACTGTTACACTCCTTTATTTAGAAAAAACATGGGTGTGGAAAACCACCTGTTTGTAGAGGAAATGGTCATCGAAGGGGCCATGCCATCCACTTCCATGATTATTTCAGGGAGTGTGACAAACCGCCAGGGTTCTAGGCTTTTAGGGTGCTTTTGATCGGATGAGTCACATACTGGTTTTAGACATCTTAGCCCTTGAGCTGCAGCACCAGGGACGCCTATCACTCCACCATGGTCGCCCGGCTGGTTGGGAGTGGACAGAAATAGACTCGATCAAAGGCCACAGGTCCATATTCCATCTTCCAAACTTCCAACCCCGCCAGCAGTAGGGTCAGCAGGTGAGCTTTCTAACTCTCTCCCTCTGTATCTCTCCCTTTTGGGTCTTCTGGAAACGTTTTACCTCCCTCGTTGGACGTGCACGAGTTTGTGGACCCTCCTAGGCTGGCTGATCCCGCAAGCTGCTCCAACATGTCCTTTTTTCATTCAGGGTTGCACGCCGCGCCTGGTCACATCCAAACAATTGGTTCTTCTTGGGCCAGGAGCATCTTAATTTCAAAACCCTACTGTAATCACGGGTGCCCCTGAGTGCAACCTTGCCGGCTTAGAACAGCCCGGACACATCACTGAGCCGTATCGAAAACCTAGATTAGATGCTAGCCACTGGCACAGGGAAAATCCATGATGAGGCCTACTACCAAAGCTACCAAGCTTGATACTCTGTTAAAATGGACTATACTGGTCTGTTTGGATGTTTGACGTGGCTCTCCTAGGCATTGTCGCTTTGGACTTGCGTCAGCAAATGCCAAGTCCTGGTAACGCCCGACACCCCCTCGGTAACCCAAACAAAGATTCCACCGAGGCTACGCCAGGTAGTTTTTTGAGGGCTATTTCCGAGAGGGACAGTGACGCTAGGGGCACATCGATATTTTAGGGCAATATCAATAGCCGATATTTTAGAGGTTCTTGGTCTCTTTTCACAACAAAGCCCTTGTGTCTGTGGCTTGGAAAACCCACGGGACAAATACAAACAAAACGTAGCCATCGATATCGATGAATCTCTGAGGATGCCTTTTGGATCCTTTTGGCCTATGCGCTCCCGAAGCTGTTGATTTCTGGATGAGATTCAGGGAGTATGAGTCTTTCTCTCCCTTCTCAGTCCACTAAGCCCTCAACCCAAGTACCCCACCCGCTCCACACTCCCGCAGCTCCAGCTGCCCCGCGGCTCCTAAAACCAACTGCCCCAGCTGGGCTCGTCATCGCATTCCTCCGTATACGGGCGACCAGGCGGTTGAGAATGTGTATCTTTTCAGGAGGCGGGTCCAGGGCTGACAGCAATCACCATTCCACGCTCACTTGAAGTTGAGATCAATCTTCCATGGGTACCAACTCCACAAACAATTGCCCAAAGATTGGCACTATTAAAATTCTCAGATGGCGAAGGGCAAGCAAAACCCAAAGTGATGGACCACACTCAACTATCCCAAACATCAAAAACAAACCGACACATCAGCCCGACATAACTAAGTAAGTCAGCTATACTACGATCTAACACGTCTATAATCTATAATTATCTATTTTTGTATAGATCCCCCTGATCTCTGTCACCTACACTGGCGACGCCCGGCTGCGCGGCCCGGCTGCGCCGCACTGGGCGCCCTGACGTCGGCTCTCCGACCCGGGGAGACCTGAAGACTCCAGTGCCGCTTCCCCAGGCGTTTCCTCGGTCGGGCTCGGTCGGACAGGGCAACGGTGGATGGCGGAGGATGTGGATGAAAAGAGGGAGATCGGAGGAAGAAATGATCTACATACACATGTGTGGGCGCTTATTGTAAGGCTGATCTGCCGTTTGCTTCAGTTCTTCTCGTGAACCGATGCAAAGTTGCCAGGCCGGGAGGCCTTGTGCGCTAGGTCTACCATCATCAGCTCCCACCGCGCGCGTTCCCGCGCGCAGCATCGGCGCAGGAACCACCGCGCCTCAAGGGGTCGCCCTCGAAGCCCTCCGCCGGCTTCATGGAGTCTTCCAGCTCGGACACCTCTGCCTTGGGGAAGACCCCGTCGGGTTCCGAGGGCTCGGACGTCGGTTGGAGGCGTTGGATGTTCATGAAACGAAGGCTCCGGTGTGGGGAGGGATCAAAATCTTGGTCGCAGTGTGAGCAGGTGGTGATGATATCACAAAGTGCATTCGCGGCAAACGCACCAGAACATGATGGGTGTCGTGCACTCCTTGATGGGTCAGGTTTGATCAAGGAACTGGCGCACATGAAATGGTAGACTCTTGACAATCCATTCTACAGTAAATATTGAAACATCCACCGAAGTCACCAAACAAGAAGGAGAGCAGTGATCCAGCCACCCAAAAACCCACACCTTCACCAGGTTTTGGCACATCCTCTTTCACCTACATCCTCTATGGTCAGTTCCTCCACCAGGACTCCAACAGCTACCGGCATGCGAGAGTTTGCCACGCCAGCCTTGGCCGGTGGGACATGGGAATCTGCCTCCCTTGGGCAGAAGCACTCAGAGCGCACCCATTCAAATGAAACAAATGATGTGAATGTAGCTTTGAATCTATGAGTCTATTGTCTATGATATGTATATATATATATCTCTCTGTCTCTCTCTCTCTCTCTCTCTCTCTCTCTCTGTGAGTGTGTGTGTGAAGGTTTTCTTCTTTTTTGGTGGACCCGTCTCACAAGTCATCTAGGTTCTTTGTGCCACTCTGGGTCATCGAAGTGGACCCGTCTCTTTGGGCCATCGGAGTCGTGGTCCCGTCACCGTCTCGCCACGCTGAGCCTCGCGCACGCTCCCTCAGCTTCTCGACGCCCTGGCTAGACATGTTTCAAGGGCAAACACTGACCATATGCATGTGTTTTATATATGGCCTATGTAACACGTATATTTGATATATATTATATATAATATAATCGATGTTTTCTCGTCTCTTTCTCTATTTCTCTCGAACAATCTACAAGCGATCAAATAGATCAACTATGATCAACTCGCTTCCTGGAAACAAGCCATCAGCGTGGCTTGCTTTGTCCTTTCAGGTCCATGCTGGTCCATCCGTGCGACTCGCGCGACGCTCCTCCCGAGCGTCAATCGCTGATGTTTCAGGGCAGAGCTCGGGCCCAAACGCTCAAAGTCCTGCTGGCCACGGTCATCTTGCTTACCTTGCGATCTCCCTGCCGGTTTTGCACGGAACGGTTGGAAAAGGGATGAACAGAACGCGACGGGATGGCAGGCGACAGAAGTCTGGTCTGCCTGGTGGCTGGGGGAGTCAAGCAATGTCCCTGTCTTCTTATGCTGCCGACGTGTCCACATATATAGTAACAATATGTATATAACAATTTTATATCATCATGTTGAACCTGTAGTGGGGGAGGTGGGCAACTCCATGCAAACAGCGGGGACACACACTTGGACTTGCGTAATCTTTTGACAGGTTGTTCATCCATGTTCATCCTCATCCTCGCTGTACTCTCTCATACTGAGCACAGCCAGTAAGTGTTGCCCCCTACTTCGTCCTGTTGGGCCTCCACACCAGTCGAAGAAAATGAACGCTTGGTGACCCATAGTGACCAGTGACCGAACTTGTTTGTGACCTAAGGTGACCTTCTCAAACTGGGGCGAATGTCAAGGACAAACTCGCCTTTGGAAGAACACAGGTAGGTCGTTTTGCTTTTGGACTGCCTGGATGGCCAAACCATGCCAAACCCAACGTTGAGCTATATAGGATCTCATCCATGAGGGTTTGGATTATTGCTTCATGCGGGTCTAAAGTTCAAGACAGTGCTTTTGCATTGGCCGGTCGAAATCAATAAACACAGCTTGCTCACATTTCTGCAGAAAGTGGCCCTTGGACGTCCGGATGTGGCTTCTATGTTTGTGGATTTGTGGGTCATCCAGTAGCGGTGGAGCCAACAAGAAGGACACCTCCCGTTTGACTCCTGGGAAATCAGGAAAACTATGAAGTCGGATGAAGTGATGTCAAACTGGGACAAACCTGCTGCACACCTGGCCTCAGATGTTCTTGGGGATGTCACGT